TCTAATAAGCGGCAGTGTTTCGGGGCCCTTGCTATCGACTGCAGGTTTGGCCTTCATCAGCTGAGAAAGAGAGAGAGAGACAGAACAATAAGCATCAGCTGAAATCAAATTAAACAAACTTATTTATATCAGCTATGGTTACTAACATTTCTAACATGTTTACTTTTGAATATTATATTTTATTCACGGCCATCATTCATAGTAGCCTATTCACAAACTGTTTTTCAAAATGTTTTCCCTCATACCATTTGTCGATGCATATTTTTTTGCTGCCGCTCTTCCCAATCCTTCATCGGTATGAGAGCTGACGGCTTCAGCTTCGTGGAAGACAAATCCTGCAGAAATTAAAAATGAAGAAATAAACAGATAAATAGATATATGGTACCTGTTTAATAAATAAATGATTTACAACTGCTAATCAACTATCCCTTTAAAATGGAGTACTATGTCAATCAAGTGTAACGTCATAAACACTTAGAATTTCCCATAAATGCTGTTTTTTTATTTAAGTAATCCCTTAATAAGCGATAAGTGTTGCATAAAACCCCTTAATGTCTGGCAGGTTTGTGTTTTCACCGCCATTCTACATTTTTTCTTGTTCGAGAAGCTGTTGTGTTGACAAATCTGGTCCCCCTTTGAAATCGGGTTGATTTTTATCTCGATAACTTAAGCCTTAAATGCTTTTTTTGTTGTTTCTTTAAAAATAAAGCTCGGTCAAGTACTTACCATTTTACGGTCCCTCCTGGGATCTGACTCCTGCGTCATGATTGGCTGGTTGATCCACTGCTTTCCATGAGTCAGCTGTAGGAGCTCCTCCTTTTTTCTCTGTGTGTTTACACTGTAAAACCAGATATATAACATTATCATAACATAAAATAAATAACATTTTTATTACTTGTCAAATTAAATAGAATATTTTTTTAATGTTTTATTTTATTTCAAAATAATTTCTACATCTTGTTTAGATGTTTTATATATACACGAGACGCAGTTTAAATAAACACCTCGCTGAGTTACTATGTTAACACACACTGACGTCTGAGCACACACACACACCTGAGCTGTGGGCGATGGTTCCTGTTGTCCACCAGACCTTTAGTGATCGCAGGAAGTTTGATGGCCATTCTCAACTGAAACAGAGACAGAACAACATCAATCAACATATAACTAATATAACTCAAACTGAGCGGCCCAAATCTATCTAAAAATTACATGAATGTCTGTGTGTGTGTGTGTGTGTGTGTGTGTGATGGATTTCAGATTTGACTGGTGTCTTGCTACAGGTGCAGTGACGAGTTTTACGTTGTTTGGATTAGCTATAAACGCAAAATACACTACCGGTCAAAAGTCTTAGATCAGTAAGATTTTTTATGTTTTTAAATGAAGTCTCTTCTGCTCACAAGGCTGCTTTATTTGATGAAAAAATGACAAAACAGTAATATTGTGAAATACTATGACAATTTAAAATGACTGTTTTCTATTTTAATATATTTTAAAATGTCATTTGAAAGCTGAATTTTCAACATCATTACTGTTGCTGATTACGCATCAGTTTTCAGTGTCACATGATCCTTCAGAAATCATTCTAATATGCTGATTTTATGCTAAAAAAAAAACTAAATTATTATTTTCAATGTTGAAAACAGTCGTGTACCATTTCCCCCCCCCAAAAATAAAAAATAAATTCTAACTAACCCCAAACTTTTGAATAGTAGTGATTAATGTTACAAAAGCTTTCCATTTCAGATCAATTCTGTTATTTTGAACTTTCTATTCATCAAAGAATCCTGAAATAAAAATGTAAAAAACTGTTTTCAACATGGATAATAATCATAAATGTTTCTTGAGCATCATATTATAATCATTTCTGTAGGATCATGTCACACTAAAGACTGGAGTAATGATGCTGTAAATTCAGATTTGATCACAGGAATAAATTACACTTCACTATACATTCACATAGACCGCTGTTATAATATTTCACAATATTACTGTTTTTTGGGTATTTTTTATCAAATAATTGCTGCCTTGGTGAGCAGAAGATACTTCTTTTAAAAACATTAAAAAATCTTACCGATATAAAACTTTTGACCGGTTGTGTATATCAGTAAATAACTATATAAGAAGCACTTAGAAGGTTGTGGTTCAAAAATAATCCTTCTGACATAAACACATAAAAACCAACAATTACTAAAACACACAAAAACTGATTTTGTTCGGGCACTTTTCACTAACTTAGTTAAATTTCACGCTATATCAAACAACGTTACTAAAAAAAGCAATTATAACCCCTTAAGTTACCTTGTCGTCGTCGGACAGGGTCCAGCTATTCTGATTAACACAGTTCACGGCAAGTTTCACAGAACGGTCGGTCATCTGCTTCTTCTTTCCTTGATGTTTGGAGGTATAAAAGTATAATACCGTGCAAGTTTCACAAATTCAATGTTCTTCCAAAGACGTTCGAAACCAAGCGGAGAGACAGTGAAGTTCAGCGGAGGCTACTATGATGTCACAGGGCAGGGCAGCGAGAGGACGCCTTGGCAGACGGCCAACGCCCACGCACATCGTTTGAATGAAAATAATCTTATTTAAAGTGAAGTTTGATATCTGTCTTGCAGTTTTTTTGGGGTTTTTTTTAATTTATTTTTAATTTCTGTCTTGCAGTTAACCTCATATGAATAACTGTCACACGTGACCTCCCCATCGACGCCATCTTTGAGGGCATAACTTTTTTCCTTTTTTTTTTTATTGAGTTTTCAAAATATTTGAGGGCATAACCAGTGATGTAGTGGTGCCTGGAGAAGTGGGCATACTCTTAATTTATGCCCTAAATATTTTTTTAAGCGTCACAGCAAAGGATGAACGCTCTGTGTTATAAACAGTGACATGAAAGACTACTAGTCTAGCATTAGTACAATATGCAAGACTACAGAATAGAGTATAATAAATACAATAGAACACATAAAATCAGTATTATTGCATATCAGGGCCGCACAATACCCAGGTCCCATAAATGATATTGTTAGGGGGGTTCAGGGAAATGCCCCCCTCGAGAAAATTTAGATTTTCCTGATCTCGAAATGAGCATTTTAAGGTGTTTTGATGGTCAAAAAAAATTGACAACAGTAGCTTTAAAAGCATGAAGTAGCCTATTTGATCAGATTCTCAAACATGAGAATCAGTTTCAGTTTCAGCTACTTTTCTTTCCTAAATTAATCTATGTTTGGTAATTTAAGTAATGGCTCACTCAAAAAGACAGTCTTGTCGCCACCCTCTGGTTTAATGACGCAAATGGCGCAGTATTATGTAAAGATGAGAAGCATCGATAATGCATTTGAATAATTAATACATTTTGTTAGTTTTGAATAGAAAACTTTATAGTTTAGGCTACTATAGACTACTTACCATTATAAATAGCCTACATAAAAAGAAATGTGCTGTTTGCTAGCCAAATTTCGTACGTTTTGTAAATGACTTGTTCAAATGCTGTTCAATATAGCGTCATCTGCTTGTTTATCATATTCAACCTGCTGAAAGTGATTATGGCATTTCAATAAATAAGAGTAGTCCAATTGCTTGGAATAATTACTTCTGATTGTATTGTTCTCTTCTTTGTAATTGGCTTTGGATTAATTAATTAATGTATAATTAATATCTCTCTGTAAAATCTGTAAACAGTCAAAGCTTAATTTAGAAACAAGGAATAATGGAACTTCGGTTTCCATGTTAATTTGGTAACGCAATATGATATTGTGTCCACGAGGTGTCGCTGTTAGATCATATTAATGAAACTTCAATGCAGAATTCAACTTTATTGTAGGGAATACAATACACTTTACATAAAAACCTTCAAAAAACAACAACAACGTGGAGGTCAATAGAAAAAAGTTCTGTATATCATTGCTTGTCATTTCTGTGATATCATGTAATTCCATCATAGGGGGAAATAAACTGAGTTTATCTTAGGCTATATACATTAGTTGATTTGTGGTTAATATTCTCTAAGCTGTTAAAAATGGCACATCAGTACAAATTTTCTGAACAACAAAATATTACTTTCAGGTTAAATACTGCTCTTCCATTAGTTCCAGATATGATATAAAAAATAAGAACAACAACATAAAAACAACGAGAACAAAAGTGCAAAAGGCATAGTACTCTCCAGGTCAAAACTCTTCACATGAAAATATTTCTACAGCACGATATACAGTAGTAAACGATCTACAGTACGCTAACATCAAATCGTTAAATTCTGGCACATCCTGAACATCACTGAAAGCAACTAATTTCTAGTTAAAGCTTATATATTTAGCCAACAGGACAAAAATGTAAGGCATTCAACAAAACATCAATCATGTACTGTATTATGCAAACTAAGCGCCATATGATATTTTTCATATGTACATTACATACATTCATTTTTCCCATTAGTTTATATTTTATGAACGGACATTGACAAATAAAAATGACGAGCGAATATGGTTGTACTTTATTTTACAGACCAGTTGTGCAATGTGCATTATAACAGTAATTATATTAACTGCACTGTAAAAAGTAATACCTAGATCTAACTTATAAAAAGTGAGGCAAGTGGCTGCATTGGATGTTTTATGTTGAGTCAACTTGCAGCCTTTTTTAAGTATTTTGAACACTTTAACATTACTTAATTTGAACACAATAAAATCAAGTTGAGTTAACTAATAATACTAATATCACTCAGTTAGATAAACCTACTTTTAATGGTACAGGTAATGCATTTATGGTTTGCTACAAATAACCTGTACTCATTTTAATTAGGTTTTATGAACTTTTATTTTCTTACTAAAATTAACAATCATATGTAGATAAACATTGTAATTGAGTCCTGGATATAACCTTAGAAAATAAATCTAAATGTGTATATTCTAAGCATTCAGTGATTAACTTTATATAAACAACATTTGTCAATAAAACATTCAAAATAAAATTGAAGAAAGATATGAGAAGATAGATTGAATAAAATAACATTTATTCAAGGTTAACCAGTGTTACTGTTAACAGTGACTACAAAACAGCAAATATATGTGGCTGCACAGTATAGTATAAAACAAACACTGTATAAGTCTGTTTTAACTGTTTTAACCTGTTCTGAACAGTACAATGAAATATCCAAAATGCCCAATCTGCAATGTTTGGTTAAATGTAAATGTGAGCCATAACATCACATTATATCACATTGGAACTGCAATGTCAAAAATTATTACACTATTTCTATATTTTAAACAAAATTGTGCAGACAACTGTTGAGAATATACCCCATGAGGTAATGATCGGCACAGATAACAGTCCAAAGTCCACATTAATTAAGGCACTGAACAATGAACACAAAAGAAAAAATCCTGAGGAACTTGTACCCGTCAAATGAGTCTTAAAGAAACACTTCAGTTAGGCTCATTTTACAACTGCCCCAGAGTTAAACAGTTTGAGTTTTACCGTTTTCGAAACCATTCAGCCGATCTCCGGGTCTGGGGTTGCCACTTTTGGCACCCCCAGACCCGGAGTTCGGCCGAATGGATTCGAAAACGGTAAAACTCGTTTGCTTAGTAAAATGAGCATGTAAAATGAGCCTATATCCAAAAAAAATAAATAAATAAAAGTGTCCCTGGAATGTCAAAAGTTGAATAATTCAAATAATTCAAAATAAATTCACCAAACAAAGTGATTGACAAAGTGACAATTTTTTCAACTTATGGCAAACAATGGCACATGCCATTGAGAAGTCATCTAGGACAACTTAGTGAGGAGATTAGCATACTTGGATGATGGTTTAGGACGCATGGGGTCCAATCCCACAAAAAGCCTCTGATATATCTCAAAGGTATAGACGAGTTTTGAGGGATACTTGAGATCGAGAGCATAGGTGAGACCTAACAGGAGGCAGCATGCTTTAGACAGGTTTGGCACACCTCTGACCACGGGCTGTCCTTCAATCATAATACCAATCGTGTCGGGATGATGGCACATGTAAATTTTCAGTGGGCAACTGCCAAGCTCAGCGTGCACCTCTGTTTCAGCACGATTCTATTGGTGGAGACAAAAAAAGAATCAAGAGTTTGGTCAGACAAACAGGTAATGAGAGGAATATAGCAGACAAGTAGAAAGTCAAAACAGTACTTTTGTTGCTAAAGGTGGTGAATACTAGATACTGTGACTAGAGCATGTGACCAGAGTGAAGTCTACTATGACAATGCCTTAAGGCCTGTTCACACGGATATTTTGCGCGCGATATTCGCCGGCGTTTAACGCCTCTTGACTAAACAAAGGGCGCCAATGCGAGTGTGCACACCGACGGGTAAAAGCGTAATTTTTTTAAAAACGGCTTGGGTTCGTTTTTTTGTTTGACGCACCGCGTCAAAAATTATCAGACCAACGAGTCTGGTCACGTGTTTGGAGCTTCTGAAGTAACAGTAAAACACAACATGGGGGCGCTCAAACACAAAACGGTCTTGCCGAGCACACATATGTAACAGAGAAAAAGATCTACGCCAAGTAGCATCTTCACTGCGGGGAAGAAATAAGACGAGGAAGATGCAAGGCAAGATGAATGTAGAGCTGCTCGTCTCGCTGGTGTCGGAACATAAAGAACTACATGACAAACGCGACAGCAACTACAATAATCTTGAATAAAAGAGAACTACTGAATGGAGTGGTATTGTAGAGCAAATGGGCGCCATCTAATGTCAGTGAATGAATTTGCATCTTCACTCGCTTGAAAATCGCTTGGTTGTGAACACAAAAAACGCATTGAAAAACCCTGGTGAATAACGCGCACTGATATTCATCCTGGTGTGTACGCGCCTTTAGAGTGTGGGTACTAAACTATCATAATCTACGGTAACATGAGTGTGGTCTTATTCTGGTTCAAAGGATGCATTACAATGAAACAATGCAATTGTCCTTGCCTGTCCCACATTGGTCATCACATTATTGTTTATTAAGCTACAAAGTTTAAATATCTTTCAAGAGCAAATGTAATTACCGGTCATCATCACAATAGTAATACACTAACCAAAATTATGTTCAAAAGACGTCTTTTCAACTTCTTTGTTACAAAGTCGTACGTAACGAGGTCCACTGAGGATCCCGAATGAATTTTTTTCTGATATCCTTTTTTGACGTGTTCTGTAATGAACGTTCATGGTACCTGTGGAAAATGTGGAATGGAAATTATGTTGAAATAAAAATGAGTTTTAATTTAATGCATCCTGAAAGGGTTTATTTGCTTCAGAAACAGTAAAACGTTTCTAAATGAGACATTAAATTACGTTAAACTAGTGTTTAATATTGTATGGAGGTTCCATGAACGTCTATATTGGACTTACAGAACACGTCAAAAAAAAAGACGCCATAACTTTAATTCTGGCTTCTTCAGTGGATGTCTCTTCAACATACGACTTGTGACAAAGACGTTTAAAAGACGTCTTTTTGACATAACTGTGCTCAGTAGAACAGACAGAAAAATAGATGCCTTAAATTGCTTTAAGACCAATACATACGTGGTGGACACTGATGAGGTCTTCCTGTCTCTCCCCCATGTACTCAATCAGGCATCTCAGGACCACTTCTCTCCTTTTCTCCACAGAGGCAGATGGATCCTGTCACAAAGTACAATCTGATCAAATTTCACAGTCGGATGACAGTATCACAAATGACAGAACCTCTGTATTGCGACCATTCAATTGATATAAAAGGTCCTACTATACATAACCCCACTGTACTAAAATGTAATGTAAATGTAAAATGTTTTACATAAGACCCTTTTTCCTCTTACCTGGATGAGGGTCATCATTTGGGACTTGATTCTTTGACCAACGGCTCCTCCTTTTGCGTTGAAAAGTGACAACAGCTTTGGAGTTTGCCTGTCCAACTGTCAGGGGCGTAGCACCAAATTCTGGGCCCTGTACACTCTCAATGTCAATGGGCCCCCTACACATGGCATTGTACGATGCGGGTTAGCAAAGTGAAAATTCAATTTTGAATGAAATGTATTTTTTTAATTATTTGAATATAAACAAATATAAACAGTGTTTAAATAATAAAATCAGATTATAGTAATGACTGGTTCTTTCATTCACCACCTGAATTGGCCTCATTTAGCCTACTTGTGCTCAAATACCTTTAAACCTTAGGCTACATCGGTTTTGTGTACTAACATTTTGATCCATGATACTGATGCAAGTTTTAAATGAAAAACATTTATTTTTAAATAGGAGAACACAAGAACACGAAAGACAACTGTACCATCAGAAACCAGGTTAAACTGATGCTACCAACTTTCTCAGTTGGTCGCATTAGCATTTGATTTCGTCGCGGTTATTTTTTATTTTTTTTGCTACATGCCATGGGATTAATCAATGCATGCCGATGAATAGTGGTTTTAATGGACCAAAGCCAGCAAAGGCTTACCATAAATACCTATAATAATATATTAATTATCATTGCCAAATTTCAGGATTTTCATGGATTTTGGACAGTAATTTTAATCTGTAATTTTAAGAATTTTACATTTGAATTACATTCAATCTATCTATTTACATTTGAATCATAATCTTCTGTGTCTGTCATTTTTCTATTAGCATCATATTTCTATCTTTTAAAAATCATTAAACATTCAAATGTACATTACATTTTAAAAGATTAGAGTATTACAACAAGCTAAAACAGATTTTTCGTTATCAAATTTTATAAGTTAGTTCAAAAATCAGAAATCTCACACTCCTTACCTCCTGCATTTTGTAATAATTTGTTTCCTGAGACATTTTCATTTTTATATTTTTATTCATGAATTCGTAATTGGCGTGTTCCACCATCAGTGTGCAATGCGCGCGTGACGTCTATGTGTCTTGCGGAAGAACACTGTTGCCGGAGCTACTTCTCTCCATTAATGTCTATGGCGAGTCACGCAGTCACTGGGCAACTTCGCATCCGAGTCAACCCCGGGAATCCGGGATAAAAAAATAGTCCGAATATAAACACTTATAACAGGCGTAGTGATTCAGGATAAGTCAAAAACACGGTTTGGAAAATGGATTCATGATGTAGCCTACTCGTTCGTTTTGAACATAAGTTACGGACTGCAGTCTGCAGCAGCTGATACAACGGTCGGTGTTCTTTTGCGCGAGCGTCCACTCGTAAATATGCGACGCGACCACATCACATACAATTTTAACTCGCACAATCAAATTCTCAAAAAAATGGTCGCATATGAGACCAATTTGGTCGCAGTCTGGAACCCTGCATTAGCAGCAGCTGTCTGGAGTTGACTAAGTTACGTTAACTTTAATTGGATGTAACGTTAGGTGCATATAGCAAACTCAGTTCACCTTTTGGGAAGAAAGCAGTCATCAGCTGCTTCCCCGCATTCTGCCTCCTATCTTTTTCTTTCATCTCTTTTTTTTAAAGCCCGATTTGGGCTTTTTGCACAGCATGATCAGATCAGGCTCCCGTTACAGGCTCTAGACTCACTGCGTTATTACTTGTTTGCCGCCCGCTGCGTCTATGGGCGGTCGACGCGTTGCGGACTAAACCATTTGGAAGGGGGTCCAGAGTGTCTAGCACTGAGTTCATTTTGGTCAATATTTTTTTTTTAATTATTATTAATGACATCAATTGGAGGGCCCAATTAATTCTAATTAGGTTTAAAAAAATTTTTTTTAAAAAATTGGTGGGATTTCAAAGGGCCCTCTCCCTAGACGGGGCCCTGGGTAGTCAGGTCCACTTTTCCCCCCACTACCACGCCCCTGCCAACTGTGACATAAATGTCGACTCAAGTGATATGCCATTGATTCTCAGGAACTCTTCACAGATCTGTAAAAATAAGTATACCATCTTAGTTGCATACCAAAAGTGATATGTTTTTTTCTGCGATTTAAACAATACGAGTTTGAGATAAATTAGGTTTTCAATCGAATGAAAATCATGGACAGTGTGAAACAGTAAAGGAATATATGCACCATATAGTTATTAAGTATGAAAAATGCAAGAACGAAGAACGAAACTGAATCATTGGGCAAGTTTGTTGGCTTATGTGCCGTCTTTACAACTATGGGCCATTTACCGTAATTGAGTAATGTGAAATTTAACTGTGGCACAGCATAAAAAAATAGGATTTTAGTTAGTCAACTTTGCTGAGTTTACCTCACCTGTGATGGTTCAAAGAGGGCAGGCCATCTCTCCAGAAGATCTGCAACACTTGGGGCTTGACCTACAATGTCCTGTCTTCTCAAACTGAAGGTTCTTGACATCAACTCATTTATAACTCTGCCGTTATTCTTTTTCTTTGTCTCAGAAATCAACTCCAGCCTGTCATTCTCAAGGGAATCTTCAGTTTTCCCAGCTGGATGAGGGGGCAGGTAGTTAACCTCAGCTTTCCGTGGTTTTTTTATATTCTTTGCTGGTTGCTTTTCTTCAGAAGATTTGCGCTTTAGAGAGTTAACCAAGACTTCTGGAATCCCATGCATTCGAAGTTTGCTTCGGTAGTTTGATGCTTTGTACTTCAGGCTCTGCTGCCATCCATAGAGACCATTGAAGGAGCCTGGCTCCTTCAAACATGGGTTCTTTTTTATGAGGGCCTCTGCAACTGCACATCGTTGTGCATCACTTGGGTAGGGAGTGTATTCATAGATGAGCTCAGCTAAACACTCCAGAATGTTGGACTTAACACCAGGGTAATACTTCTCTTTGCACAAAAGGGAACCATCTTTGAGGTAGTTTTCATTGCCTTTTTGAAGAACTAGTTCAGTGTTATATGAAAACTTTGGAACAGGAAACTCAGTTGGCCATGGCTTGTGCGTTGCAGGGCTGTGGGTGCTGAGTATTATAGTGTCATCAGATTCCCCAGAGATGGAGTCACTTGATGTTGATTGTTGAGACACAAAGTCATTTTCTGACCTGGAGACAGAGCAATCTTCTGTTGGGAGCTCAGGAATGTCAACATTTGTTAACAAAATAACAGGTGGAACATACACTATCTTCAGTGTGTCCCTATCCTTCAGGTCATCGATTGAAGTCAAAGTAACAAAGTCATCAAAATCCTGGTCTTTGCGCTGAAGGCTTATGTCCATTGAGATCTGAAATGTTTGTTTTATTGTTGATTCCAACTCTTTAACTGACTGTGGCATTCCAGGAAGACAAAGTTTCTTTATGTCATGGTCCATGATGACTCTAAATTTTACAGCTGACTCCATTTTGATGATGTAGCCTTAAAAAGATGACAAAACAACATATTAGTTTTACATTCAGTCTGGCATTGTTTAGCAAGAATTATTTGTTGAATGCGTGTATGGTATATCAAAGAAACTTAAAGAGAACTGTGAAAAATGCCAACATCAGTACCCCTTGAATTCATACCATATGAAAGGTGTATCTATTCCAGACAAATATGGCGCTTCAGCGTCACCATACGCCTTCCTGCAACCTTGTAATCTGACAGCGGACACACATCAGTGAGATCCTTCTGTTCCACAAAAACTACAAGCTCGGTGCTCTCAATCTCAAATGCTCGAAAGTGCTCATCATACCAGGAAATTAATACTTTAGCAATGAAATGGACCTTGTCTTTTAGAATTACAATCTGAAGAACTTCAATAAAGTCTGGGAGTCCCGCAATAGACCCATAGGCCAAAATCATGCCTTTAGAGTACGTAGTTCCATAAACTGACACAGTGTTGGAAAGATGTACAGTAGTCTGACCTGGAGAAACTCTTGTTATTGCATCATGTACACTTGTATGCAAAACAGCTATGGGCACTTCGGATACTCTGGCAGTACTGAACGTGGGAACTGTTGTAGTTGCATGCAGATGGTGTGCAATCATCAACTGATGCTTGGTTGCGAGTGAAAAAAGTACATTTTTGAAATTCCCTGTATGTCTTACAACTTGTTTGAAATAACTATGTTTTCCTTCGAATCGCATCGTCCAAAATGCAATGACAGGTCCAAACACTTTAATGAGCGTTGGATAGTGCTCCAGGAAGTGGTGTTTGGGGATCAACTTAACCTGAGGAAACGCAGCAAGTAATCTAAGTCGATGCTCTGAAATCTTTGTGTCAAGATATGACAAACTTGCTTCAGTTTGGGTTGGTGCTACCACAAGTTCAACTATGTCTTTAAGACACATGATTACATTCCATGCAGGATCATTCAGGGTTATCTTGTGTCCTATCATTAGTGGGAGCAGTCTGATGAGGGTCCAGTTTTCGTGGGCATTTCCTCCGATACTTTTTCGAGTGTGGAATGCAGTGGTAATGGGCTGTGGACTGTCTGTCTTATCTCCCCACTTGTAAGGAAATGATTTGATTGTGTTGTTAAGCTCGTCAAGTGTGATGTACTTTTTGGCTATGAAATCACTAAAGCACAGAGCTAATTCCATGGGAATAATCCCCTCAAAAAGGTCGTGCAAAATATCAGGCGGATAGCCCTCAACCATGTGAAAATGGCTTAGTTTCTCGGTCAGTGGGCAAGGCCTTTTCACACCAAAACAGTGGGATAGTGAAGGGTTTGCTTGTAAAGTCTTTACATGAACGGAATAATCCTCCTTTGTCCGGTTTTGAAAAGCATCTGATCTCACTTCCTTTTCTTGAAAGTCAATGTGCGCTCCTAGACAGAACCTGCAAATGTATGGACCTGAGAAGCTTTCAACAAGACCAGCAACTGAATGTGCGCCAAGGTTGTCAGCAACTACACAGTAAACAGTCCCTTTGACAATTTTTCCAAGGACAGGAACCAGAATACCATCTTGTTCCAGTTTAGCTATGTCATCCAAGAGTGGCTTGAGAACCTCTGCATAGCCAAATCTTTTAATATCAGTAGCTTTGCACAAAAGTGCAAGATACACTGAAGTTAGTGTGGACCGAAAACAGGATTGGATATTTCCCAATATCCAGTACACGCCTGTTATTTTATGTTTCCTTCTAGATGTTCCTAAGGGATTGCATACCTCAAAATCATCTATATAAAGGAATATAGAAATTCTCTGCTCTTCAGAATAAAAATCACTCTCTCTATAAATGGCACCATCATGGAATGATCTGTACTGTCCAGGAATACTTGTGTGTCCATTATCTGCGAGGAACTTCTCTCTGATATCTTCATTGTTTCGAATTTGTTTCAATGATTCAAGGATCGGAACATACTGAAAACTGGTATTTTCATTTGGATCGAGAATATATTCAACTGGCTGTACAACGTTAAACCTTTGTAGAAAGTACATTCTCCTTTTGAAAGCTGACGATAGTGGACCAGCCTTATCAAAAGCCAAGCTTATGGGGCTGGATTCATTTAACTCCTCAAATAAGGATGTGATAACGGTGCTATCAATCACACAATTATTCTTCTTCAAGTGTGATTCAACAATGTCTCTGATAATTGGTATGGATGCTGATGACAAAAACTGCATTTCATCTATTAACTCATCAATACACCTGTTTGAGACATTATGCACACTTTCCAGTTTGAGCAGAAAGGAAGCTATATGGTCCACAATTAAGTGTCGGTCATCCTTTTCTACAGAATGTGCACCTGAGCTGGTTCCTTCTCCACTTCCTTCATCCATATCCTCATCATGGGTGACTACAGTGTTATCGGGTTCTAAAATTGGTTCCTCAATTGGCTTTTCCAAAAGAACACCTCTTTTAAAATCACTCAGAATATGAGGAGTGTGCTTCCTGTGTTTGTGTGCTGTAAATGTTCCATAAATATTGGTTTGAAAATCACACCCTTCAAATGCACACTCAACAGTCTCATTACTTTTAAGGTGATGGCCAACATGTGCAAAATATTCTCTCTCTGTTGGAAACCCTTGTGTCCTACACACCAGGCATTTAAAGGACAGGACAACCTCAGGTCTTTGTGTCTGACTTTCCACATGGCATCGAGACAAATGTGAATGCAAACTACTCCAAGTTTTGAAAGAACATGGACATTCAAAGTATATGCATGGTAATGAATGACTATGGCTGAAGGTTCCATGATGGAGTCTATAATGTTTCAAAATGTCACTTCTGGTAGGCAAGTTGTCACTGCATCTTTTGCATTGCCAACTCATTTTTACCTGTGCCAACATAAATTAGAGAGGAAATGAAAGGCAAATTAAAGACATCTTAGGTCAACTTTGCAGTTACAATAGTGAAGGCACACCATTTGTTTCCAAATGTTAAGGATAAGAATGATACAAGGATAAGACCCCTCAGGTTCATGCCAAGACTATTAACCAAAATAAATAATTTAAAGCAATGTTTAACTTTTTGTATTAAAAGGTATACAAAAAACAGTTATATAATTTTAGTTGTGTAATTAAATTATTCCAAATGTTTTCAACCAGATCAAATTTGAAAGAAATCTGTAATTTTGTTAAATGCAATGATGCATTACATTTTGTTCACCTGTCAATTATAGCATCCCATATGTGCAGGGGATTGTGGTTGTCTGGTTGTGGTTGTCTGCTGAAGCCACGTTTAATTGACTTTTTCTACAATGGGCTATATGCACGCATAAGTTCCGCATTTGACGCAAGGATGCTCTTCCATTTCCGGTTGTGGAGATTTAAGCGGAGGAAAATCGAGGAAAACGAGATTATGGCAGAGTCTTCAAAATTTACTGTCCTCCCGTCTTTGAAACGAAACGTACATACGTTTAGATGTAATTTTATATATAGTTATGTTTATGTAATATAATTTTAAAAAGAAGCATAAACACAACAAGGGGTGTCTGTTTTATCTGTTTTTGTGACTAACGTTTCTTTCGTATAACCATGGAGTGTAAAATTCAATATAAATTCTCTGTATTGCATTGGACTCTACGATCAGTGGAAGTTATCGAGCATCCTTAATCCTTCACCGGAAATATCACCGTGCATAGAGCCCATTTAGATTTTATGATACACTTTTTAAAGCCTGGCAGTTTTTAGTTCCTTTTCAGTCAAGAACGTCAGACATGGGCTGCATACGACGTTCTACAGTATATATAACTAGATTAAGGATTTTAGTCATCACATGTCAGGATCTTAAATGATCACAGACAAAAGTTGAGTAAATGTTAGTGGAAACTGACAGCTTACCAAACTGCCTCAGAGAAATACTGATTGATAATAAGAAACTGCTCTATTTTGGTGATTTTTACTGTATGTTGTGGGGAGGAGACAGAAAGGTGATCTGCCTTCGGTATAAAAACGTAGAAAGAAATGTAATTGTATGGAGACCACACTATTGTTTGCAATTTTACATAATGTTTTACTTACCTGTGAAAAGTCATAGCTGTAATAT